GGGGGGGGGGCGTGGTGTGGTGTGGCGTGGCGTGGCGTGGCGTGGCGTGGCGTGGTGTGGTGTGGTGTGTTGTGTTGTGGTGTGGTGTGGTGTGTTTTGTGTTGTGTGCGTCTGTGTTGTGTGTGTTGTGTGTGTTGTGTGTTGTGTGTTGTGTGCTGTGTGCTGTGTGGCTTGTGCGTGTGTGCTGTGTGCGTGTGCGTGTGTGTGTGTGCGCGTGAGCGTGAGCGTGTGCGTGTGCGTGTGCGTGTTTGTTTGTTTGACTGGTTGTTTGTTTGTTTGTTTGTTTGTGTGTTTGTTTGTTTGTTTGTTTGCTTGCTTGTTTGTTTGTTTGCTTGTTTGTTTGTCTGTGTGTGTTTGTTTGTTTGTTTGTTTGTTTGTTTGTTTGTTTGTGTGTTTGTTTGTTTGTTTGTTTGTTTGATGGTTGTTTGCGTGTGTACGTGTGCGCGTGTGTGTGTGTCTGCGTGTGAATGTGTGTGTGCGTGTGTGTGTGTGTGTCGAGCCATCGAGGGCGCACGTCCAGCCACTTGGGAGCAACTGGCCGCGGCCTGAACCAGAAAACACCGGAGCAGGCACTCCCAACAAAGATCACCGAAACAGAGTCGAAATTACGAGGCACCCCCAGCACGCCCTGCCCTCGCAGACGTGCCCAGGGGCCACCCCAGGGGGCCTCTCCGAAGGGGGTCCATGGGGAATGGCATTCGACCCATAAACCCACGCTGGCACCGCACGGACAATCAGCACGCGGACGCCAAGAGTCCCCAGAGGGGGACCGTCTGGAGCCCTCAACACCAGGCATCGCACGGATAACCTGGCCCAAGGGTGGTCCGACCAGGGAAACGTTACCAAGCCTTCATGCCGTATGGACGGCGTCCTGGCACGACAGGGCAAACCCACCCCATCGTCTACCGAAGACTGCGTCTCGACACGATGGGGCGTCCAGCCGTCTGCCGGGAACTGCGTCTCGGCACGACGAGGCATCCGCCCAACATCGCACGGATAACTGGCGGGAGCTCGGGCAACCGAGGCCGGATCCAGCAACGGCCCCACGGCCGTCGGGAGGCAGCACGCCGCACGTCTGCCTCCCAATGGCCAGGCTCAGCCGTCCCGCAACGCCTGCCTTCCAATGGCCAGGCTCAGCCATCGCAGCCACCTCTGGCCGTCTGCACGCTTGCCGCCTCATCGCCGCCGCTGGCGCTCCTCGAGGCGTTCCGCGCGCTGGCGCCTGACGGCGGCCTTCAGCTCCACGAGCTGCGCCTCGAGGTCGACGAAAGCACCCGCGACCACGTACTCTCTGCGCACCGCTAGCCTGCGGGTGCCGCACGGCTGCCACTGCGCAACCATGGCTGCCTCGCCGTGCTCGTCCACCGCTTCTTCGTCCGCTCCGTCCTCCTCCTCCGTCCTCCGTCCTCCGTCCTCCGTCCTCCTCCTCCTCCTCCTCCTCCTCCTCCTCCTCCTCCTCCTCCTCCTCTACGTTCTCCCCGACGCCACCGAGGAGGGAGCTTGGATGGGGGTCGGACCCCTTGCCCTCCAGCTCGCCGTGCTGGATGTCTGGCGGTGCGGGCTGGGTAGCGGGCTCTGCGTCGTGCTGGGTGGGCATCGGCTTGGGCGTCGGCTGCGGCGCCGACCTCCGCGCAGCCGCCGTCGCCGCCGCCTCTGCCGATCACCTCCGCCTCGGGCACCCACCAGCGTGCACCTGACTCGAGGGGACGAGGTGCGCCTGCCTGGGGAGGCGGCTCGCTGCGCGCAGGGCGGCTCCGTGCCATCGCCACATCCTGCCACGCCACGGGCGCCGCCTCGATCGCCGTCCGAACCGCGGGCACCTGCCGATGCCTCGAAGGCCACCGCCACGGCTGCCTGAGCCTCCGCGGCGGC